TTTCTTTCATATTGCCACACTTGGTAACCGTTTTATAAAAGCAATAGCTCACGACAGGCCGTGGTATATGCTCATTATATCACAGCTAAGGGGCGTGGTTCGGCCCGACGCGAAGCAGACCCAAACAATATAAACACTGCATTGTCTCTTGTACCAAATTACAATACACATAATGCATATGCAAAATAGTGTTGCTCATACTAAATAAATAAAATATAACTCCATGGATGTGTGTGTGTGTGTGTGTGTGTGTGTGTGTGTGTGTGTGTGTGTGTGTGTGTGTGTGTGTGTGTGTGTGTGTGTGTGTGTGTGCAATGACACATATTCCTTGACAACCTAGATAATAAAAACCTACCGGTATAAAAAACATATTTTTGGTAAAGATAAAAAAGAATTATGTCGAGGGATTCCTTTTTTTAGCCAACATGATTGACGTTTTGAGCGACAGCATTAACCTCAACAACAAAGCTACACGTTTTTCAATCACAATGTTGACTACAGTCACACTAACACATACCCTGTAGGCCTTGTCTCGTTTATAAAGGGGAAACACAGTTGGTTTTAAGTGGGAATCAGAGTTAGCCTAAAAGCTTAAAAAAACATAATTCCTGTCACAAGTGCTTTGTTCAAGCTAGAGTACTTTGGGCAGAGTATTGGTTGGAGAGTATTCAAACCAAGAGCTTTTAGCTATAGATTTTCATTTAGTTTTAAGAGGCCTTTCTCCTCCAACGCTTCCACTTATTTTGTCGGCATGCATAGAAATGTCCATGACCTCGACTCAAATGGCTGCTCCTGTTTTCTTAGGAAATATACAATCCTCCACTCTCTGTGGAACTTAAACCCTCTCACTCTCTACTCTCTCTACTTTACCGTGACCCTTGCACCAATCTCACTGCTGCAGCGGTGAAGTGACAGAATAGATGTAGAGGCATGAAAAACCTCTTGAAAGAGAAAAAATATATATTAATAAATAACATGTTTTGATGATTGGGAGTGGAATGCAGGAAAGTGGGTTAAAGCACACAGAGGATGAAAAAGAGAAAGAATAACAGGGTATGATATCCAGCCGTGTTGCTGGTATTGCTTTCACCTTGTGAGTCGGTGTGTGTTTATATTAGTTAATTTTAAACAGCAGAATTCTCAAAGCTTTCTTGATTTCCAGCAAGAACGGATACTTATTCAACATTGCAGATTATTATCACTCATGTTTTGAGTAATGGTGGGTAATAAACCTCAATTCCTTGTGGTCAGTCAGTGAAAACTACTGTATTTCTTTTGTGGCTTTAGAGATTAGTGTAAAGTCGGGAGGCTGTGGCGCAGTGGACTAGTGCGTTGGTGTTCAGATCTGGGGAGCACATGTTCAAACCCCACTGCAGTCAGCATGTCATTGTGTCCACTCCCAGGGCAAGACGCTTCCCCCCAAATTGCTCCTGTGGGGATTGGCAAGAGTATTGAGTATGTAAATCGCTTTGGATAAAAGCGTCTAACAAGTAACATGTAATGTAATGTAAAGTCTGAGAAACAGCAGCAGTGTCCTTTTTAAAACATCTCTGGCTTATTAGAGATGCTATCCAATTGCTTTATGGGAAATGTAGAATTACATTTTTCGTGCAACTCGATCCCCACTATATGTAATTAAAGGCAGGAATTATCAGCCTCTCACATCTCCCTTAATGTCTTGGGTGAGACATATAAAATCTAGAAGGCTACTACCCCTTCAAACTAATTTCAAAAAAATGAATGAAAGAGATGCACATGTTTTTCTGAAAGGTACATATTTAACTTTATTTTATTAATCCTAGTTTCACACCATTAATTGCTGTTTGTGTTCAACTGTATACAGAACAGCTTCTTCCACCCTTTCTCTGAAACAGGTTGCAATGTAAGCTATACTCAAGTTTATATCACACACAACCACCCACCACACACAAATCCTTCCCCTGTTTTATTCAAGCTGAGCTGAAATCTCTCATCCTTCCCTTTTTGGAAAAAGATAATGATGCCATCACAGCTCAAAGAAGTCATTAATGTGTGAAACAGCCATACATGTAAGACATCAAAGCACAGCAGAGTGCACACTCCCGCCCACTAATGGGTAGGCCACCCTAAAATATTGTTAATAGCAACAAAAATCTCCCTTTGAATCACTTGAAAATATTAATCTCCTTAGAAATGTTACTTGTCAATAAAAAAATCACCATCAAATGTAATCCAGCGGATAAACAGATGGACAGTAATATCATCCAATATAAAAAGTGAGAAGTGGGAGGAAAAATTCCTCAGTAATTGGTATGAGATCAATGCAATACAAGGCTTTAAAGAGCGTTATAGCCTCAATATAATCCCATTAAAACACACTGAAGTATGTCCTAAACACATTATACCATAAAATAGTCATGCTTTAAAGGGACAATCTCTATTCAGATGAATTTCCTTTCATAGATAATCCTCCCAGTGACACACTTTTGCAGAAAATGGGAGCATCATATTTATTTCCTATATACATTTTGTGTGGGAAAATCCTGTTGGTGAATACTACACATTATCCTTACAATTATATGACTTTATTATTGTCTTACAGTATACTTTCTCTGATCCTGGGTAATGTCCTGTTGATGACAGTAGTTATTACATTTCCTTCAGGCTACTACAGTAGAAGCCACCCACTGATGGAAAAATGAAGGTTTAATAGATATTCATTTACATTCATTATTTAGGATTCAGGCAAGGCTAAAGGAATGAAAGTTCCAGACTTTGAAAACCCCTTTTCCAAGGGAATAAATAAGCAGCAAATATATACACTGGGATTTTGTGTATCCCATCAAAACATGACCAATGGTTTTAAGTTCAGCTGAAGTTTTATGATCAATCACAACAGCTACTGGAGAGAAATGGTGTTGGTAATGTAAACTGTGATCGTTATTCTCGCGTCCAGGAGAGAAGCTTTAAAAAAGGAGACTAAATGGAGTCTCTGAAAAGGTTCAATTGGGTACTTTAATTAAAAAAGGCGCGGGTATTTTACAAGCAGGATATTGTTCAGTCAGAAAAACAGCTGTGATCTGGTCCTCGTGAGCGAAGAAGAGAGAGAGAACCCCTCCTCTCATCACTTTTCATTTAACACATTCTAAACGCTGTAATCAATACTCTAAAAAAATAAAAATACTGGAAATACTTCACGGCATTTTGGTTTCCGGTGGAGTTCCGGATGTTGTCACATGCTACCCACGTCTGTAAACAATAATGTATTCAAATAAACTATACCTTCATTTAATATGAAGCATGGTAGTATCTCGACATCTATAGTTGTAGTGTTAAATCAGTAGGTTTCGGTGTGCATCACTCCATGTCATGTCGCTACTAAATTCACCTCTTTAGGAAATAGTATATTTAGCCACATGCTAAATGCTAACCGGATATGAAGGATTTTCAGAATAAAAGCTTAACAACTGGTTGTGCACGAGAATTTCTGTTTTTTTCAGTATAAAACAGCATTTAAACTGACGGTATTTTTAAGCTACATTATACCATCAAAACATTGATTTTAATTTCTAACAGTAACTAATCTCCCTATCTCTGATGTTAGATGTTGAGATTTTGTAAAAAGATCCTAGCAACCACATCTAGTATTGTGTCAGAAGAAAGAGCCCTTTTATAAAGCTATCTAATCTGTCCCTGTCAAAACATCTCAGCTGAAGTGGTTGAACCAAAATGTGTTTTATTTGAAAATTAACTGGAGATGAAATTGCTTTATACGATTTATGTTGATGCTGCTGTCATGTATATTTTTATTTTTTGATGCATTTTCTCTAAAATGATCTTGTATGGCATAGGGGTTTCACCAACTAATCGACTAGTCGACTACCCTTACCACTAGTCGGCGCTGTAGGCCCCAGTCGACTAGTCGTGAAAAAAATTGAGGTAAACGAGGTGCTGCAAAATGCTCCAAAACACGTCCGACATTCTTATGTATGGCAGTACTTCAACGAAGATGTAACCCAATCCACAGTGAAGTGT